CTTTAAAAAGGTGTCTGAGGGAAAGTATTAATTGTTAATCTGTACTTTCATTAAAATGTTCTGGTTAGTTTTTAGAAATGACTGATAATTCTGCTTCCTTTAGACACATCATGAATTATCTGCTAAGTTGCAAGAATTGGTATGGAATAATATATTCTCTAGGCTCAGAAATAACTGTGGACATTCCAGTTTCAGTGTTGCCAGCATAAGTACCAACTGGCTGTCCACATTCATGCATTTCACATCTGTGCACTCAATCAAAAGGACTGAAAATGCTCCAAGAAATTACATCTCTCCTGAAAGCGTAGGGGCTTTGTGCTTGTCCTTATTTCCCAAGCAATACCACATAACAATTATTTATACAACATTTGCAATGCATTTGGTACCCTGAGTACAGTGATTCAGAGATGTGTTAGAGCATGAGGGGCAATGGGCAGTGGTCAGAAGACCATTCTGAATGTCCATTAGCTTTCTGATGTGGTCTACAAATCACTTTGTCCCAAAATTTATGATAAATTTTGACTATCCTATCATAGAAATATAGCATGAATAAATAGATCTATTTGTGACTGTGTTTTTTAAAATCTGACCAACCAACAGGGTTTCTTTTATTTTTTTTCTCATTGAATTTATTGGTACATTTTAGGTATACAGTACAGTTTCATTCATCATTAGGATCTTGTACTTTTACATGACAGGTCGTTTTCCCTATACCCCTGCCTTCTCTTCACCCCTCCTCCTTTCCCTATTTACAAAAACTTTACTTCAATTTTTTCACTTAACAGACCCAGTATTCAGTCACTATGCTTGTTGCTTGTGTGTGTGTGTGTGTGTGTGTGTGGGTGTGTGCACGCACACATGTCTTGCACTGGGATTCAAATCCCACATGGTAGGCACACACATATTACTGACCACTGCCCTGCAACCAAATTCTAGATAGGAAACAAGGAGGTAGAACTTTTGCAAAAGGGAAGGGAAGGATAGAGGAGGAGGAAGGAAGAGGAAAGGAAAAGAATAGTAAAATAATTAAGATGTGTTACATACATGTACCAACTCCACACAATGAATGCAATCATATACCATAAACATGAACTAATTTTTAAAAAAGAACAATTCAAAAGAAAAAAATTTATCTTTCTCAAAGTAGATATTTCATTTTTAAAAAGATTTTCTGTATAATTTTCATTGTAGAAATCACATAAAATGAAGCGTTACTAAAGGATCCTTAACTGATACTCAGAAAGGAGACATCCTATTCTCAGAAAGGAGACATTCTGTTCTCAGTCTTGGATTTTCTCCACAGTGATTTTTCCCAGCTGATCAGACAAAGTGTAATGCTACACCTGCATGACCTGATACTGTCATGTCCAATGAGCCCGTGGAATTTCTTCCCATACCCTCTACCTTCCAATTTTCAAGTCTGTAAAAATAAATGCATATATTTGAGGCAGTGGTAGTCTACAAAACTGTCATCTGTTCAGGATGATGCTACATTTCTTTATACCACCTTCTGCTATTACTGTATAACTTTCATTTAACAGTGAACCACATCCCACAGCAAAATGGCACCTTGTCTGAAGCCAGAAAACCAGGACACCATGGGAAGATCATTTTCTTCCTTTACTTCCACAATATCTGGAGTCCACCAAATAACATAGTCAGCTGTATTCTCACAGTGGGCAAGGTGATATTCTGATTACTTTCTTCCTAAATGCTCTATTCATGGGCATAACTATCTCTATGAAAAGATATGGTTATACCCAGTCTATTGGTTTGTGTTTGATTATGTTAAGTAAATTCTATGAAGAATTCTCAGCAAATTACTGCAGTTGATTTTTACATTCAAAAACTTTGTTTATAAATATTTCTGCCTGTAGTAGGGACTACATTAGCATCAAATTATAAAAGGAAGAATCCTGGGGACTTAACAAAGAAAGACTCTGAGTATCATCACCAGGCAGTGGGACATTATTGCCCTTAGCTTCACCACTGTGATTACTCAAGATTATACAAGGCAGGCAGCTGTTCCAGACAACTGCAGAGATTGGATACATTTAAGTAGATCAGAGCCAACAATAAGTGCTGTGAAACAGAATTAAATTTTGGTGTAGCCACATTAGTTCAACAAGGCTTAGGAGAATGTAAATCATATGGAAATATTTCAGTGAGAAAAATGGCATATGGTACAAAGGAAAGAATCTTATTTTTGAAGTTTGGGTTTAAAGAATTCAATGGTTTCATTGAAATTCTGCCGAGGTAGGCACAAATTCAAGTGTTTGAGATGCATCAGTGATCCAGACAGAGATACCTGTTCTTGTGGAATTTATTTTACCACGAAGGAAAACAAAGAGGAAAACTAAAAATGATATATGAAAAATGTACAGCAGGTGGAGGAAGATAGATAAATGTTAGGGAAAAAAAGGTAGAGTAGGGAAAGAAAGAGTGGTGGAGAATAGAAATAAATGTGTAAATAGGGTCTGCAGGGCTCTCCAACTCCCTACATATTAATGTAATTTGAGCAAATCCATGAGGTTTGGGGTTGTCAGAAGTCGTGTCATTTTTGGTTACATAAAAACCGTGCTAGTTTTGGTTACAAAAAAGACAACTGACTGCCACGCTGGTGAAAGACATGTCTGGATTTATGAGAATTCCAAATACACCCTAACTGTGCAACTTTGAAACCAGAATTAACTGACACATCCAGACTCTGAGGATATCCTCAGGCCCAATTTCTGGAACTGACCATTGTATATCTTCTGTCTCTGCCAGAGACACAGAAATTCGTATCACAGGACTGAATAATCTCTTCACTGGGGCTTAAAACCATGCTCTGGTGCCTGTGGCTCAATATATTTTTGCTGACAAATGTAAACTGTAGCCTAAGACACATTTAGAAAAATACGAATTTGCAGCAAGTATAAAATACTGAGTTTTCCTCAGCAAACTTTGTCTATCATGCTTTTATTTAAAAGTTTTTGGACCTAATTTAAGACAACTCATTTCTCATGAATTGCTGCATTTCTCTTATCGATGAAACCAGAACTTTCAATTTCTCAGTTGCCTGAATTGACTCCACTCTCCTACTCCAACTTGTCTAGGATTTGCGGATAGGTGTCTTAGTCCATTTTCTGTTGCTAACACCCCAGTGTCAGGATTGGGTAAGTTATAAAGAAAAACAGTTTATTTCAGCTGACTGGAAGGACAAGGGGACGGATCTATGACACCCGAGCGAGGAGCAAGATATCATAATGATGCAATGTAATCAGTTATTTTATTATTTGTTAATTGCATAAAGGGATTAAACCATTCATAAAGGAAGAGCCTTTACCAATTCTTTAAAAGTTTCATCTGGTTCTCTTGATATCTGCCCATGGGGATTACATTTCAACAAGTTTTAGAGAGGACAAACTGCTTGTGAACCATTGTAAATAAAAGCTTTCATCAAATTCTTTCATTGTCATTCTCCAGAGTCAGAGTTACTTTCAGGGTCTTTTCATATGCATATCTATTACAGAAAACATCCTTAAATTCATTTTCTGTGCCCTACAGAACTTATTCTATTAGATACCTACCCTGCACTATCTCTCTCTCTCTCTCTCTCTCTCTCTCTCTCTCTCTCTAACATATATTATCTTCTATGAAATGGCTCGACCCTTTTTCTTAAATTTGATAGCTCAGTTTGTCAAAATTTTTTACTTTTGTTCATTTATATGAGTCTTATTTAATTTTTTTGCCTTGTTAAAGATTGTGAAGATTTTTCATGTATGAACTTCTCTAAAACTTCTATAATTTCAGATTTCATATCTAAGTTTATGAATAACATCAAATTAAATTTACCTACATTGTGATATGGAGTCAACATACTTTTATGGAGTTCACTCTCTAAATGTATTTGTAGAGTATCTACAAAAGCTACTACACTGCAAAGTTTCTAGGTCCTTGGATTTTCAGATATCATTACTTTATGTTTTACACTATAGTTTTCAAACAATTCCGTGCTTACTATGTTGTGAGAATCCTCTAATGTTCCTATGAACTAAGTACTCTCAGTTTGTAGAAGAGGAAATCAAGAGGTCAAAGCACTTACTAAAGATATTGTACACACACACACACATACACACACACACACACACACACCACAAAGGGAAGGAAACACATCACAAGCCTGGGTTGTAACATTCTATTTTTGAGCTTCTAAGCTTTCATTTCCCAGAGAGATGCTACCTGGGGCCAAATAGGAGGCAAGAAACTTTCTCAAAAGACTCTGAGCCACAGCCTGAATTAACCCTCATTTTTCAATAAAAGATTCATGATTTTTCTCTTTAAAATCATGTGCGTTAAGTATTTGTCTGCATGATGATTGCAAAGTTAACTTAATACTGAAATCAAGCTTTATATTGTATATCATCAGCTAAAGAAGATGTTCCAGATACATGCTAAGGGTTTCTCTGCATGAGTCCTGCTGGCTGCTCCTCCTACCTCCCACCTTCTCCCACCCTGTCCCTCAGAGTGCAGGACATTCTTTGAGACATTCCCACACCCATCTCACCCCCAAACGCTCCCTGGGTTTACTTAGTGACATTAGCTACCTCTGCTCATTTAAACGGAAGAGATTTCACCTGTGTACCAAGGTGGACAGACTGCTGGAGAGATGGGCTCAGAATAGGCTTTGAACAGGTCTTGAAATAAAAGGATATCACTGAGATTTTCTTCTCTTGTCATTGATTCAAATAGGACATACAAGGAGAAGTAGAAGAAGTGACTGATCTAGAATCTACAATAACTGGGGTCTATTTCTTTGGGCTGTAAAGCCAGGAGTCAATTAGATGCTCAAATTATGCTTGAATGCAATCACATTTTTTAACAATATACACTCCTTACTGTAGAAGTTACATCAGGAGAGGTGTCTGGTAAAAATTTACACAGGAGAAAGTGATAAGTTTTAATATTTATACAAATTTGGTGAATCACTTGATAACACTCTCTTCTTTTTATTACAGGTGCAGGTGAATCTGGGAAAAGTACTATTGTTAAGCAAATGAAGTAGGTCCTGAACTATTTCAAATGTTTCAATGTGTTTGATGTCTGTCAATGTATTTGACCATTCTTAAAATAAATGCCTTTGGGAATGCAGATGGGTAGTATCTTGTAAATCACAGGTAGTGACACAATTACCACAGGTCAAGGCAAATAGTCCTTCTCTCCTGGATCAGAAAGCACAAGTCATTTATACATGCAAAAGCTCACAGAAGCATTTTGGAACATTTTAAAATGATTTGTCTTAATGTTCTGGAGATTCTGAAATCAGTCAAGAAGTTATCTCCAAGGTGTAAAGACAAGAAAACTTTGATTAAGATGACGCACTTAACGTTTTCAGCCACAACAGTACAACATATTTTAAATACCATCTTCAAAATGTTCTTGCCATGGCGTCATTTTTTTTTTTTCTCTAAAAGTAGCTCATCACAGGCTTCTGGTTATCTAATATACATGATTTTGAATCTTGTAATTTAGCAAGGATCTACATTATTTTTAGGGAAAAGATCAATTCTGCCATGTTTTCCCAGGTTTGCGTTATTACTAAGATCTTTACAGGGCCTTGCTGCCCTCCCTCCTTCCTGCTTCCCCGCATGACTTCTCTCTCTCCTCCTTTCTTCCTCGCCCATCTTTTTGGAGCACTTTCTGTGCAACGCAGCAGGCCGGCCAGGAGGCGGGGACACTGCGGGCCACGTTCTCAGCTTACTTTGCAAGGTTCATGGGAAAGAATCGGTACCAATCTACAGATTTAATAGGGGTAATAGAGCTAATAGAGCTTCTAATAGAATCTTGTAATTCTGCCAATAGAGCTTCTGTTAAGTGTGGGTATAAAAATACTATTTGAACCTCTTTGGCATTTTGCCTATATGAAAATGGACTGCACATTCAAAATTATCACTATCATGGATTTCAATGTACTTTTTGCATTTATTTTCCTACTGCTTTCTTTACAGTTAAATAACTAGACCTGAATTTCTGGCTAAGTAAATAAGGAACACAAACCTTCTATAAATTAAAAGATGACACGTCTCATAGATAAAATGGGGACAGATAGGAAGTGAACTGGTGGAACCTATGGGCGTCATTGTTAGTGAATCTTAAAGGACAGCCACAGCTGTAAGAAGAGGTGGAGGAAGAGGAGTCAGTTTGGGGCCTAGTTTTAAGCTAGCTGTTAAAGTATCTGGATCTTTCATGTGTCAGGAGTGACACCTCTCCATGCTAAAATTACCTAGTAGCAACATCACCAGCTTTTTCCGTGTTGTGATTTCACGTAAATTGCATATCACCCAGTGTCTGTGTCTCAGTTTCAAACTCCCTGTAACCTCATCCACGGCACAGTTTATCTTGCTCCTGTGTCTGGAAACAAGGCTCCTTCTCCCAGTTCACTGGTCCGAATCATTCTGGGTCCTCAGGTCCACCTGATGGGTCACCCCTCACTCCTTTCTGACATTCAGCTGTACCTTCCGACTTTTCTGTTTTGGGGTACCATACACTTAAATCCATCTCATCTGCTTTATCTTTCTATTTATCAGATAAATAATTCAGTTTAATGTCACTATTTACAAAATAAAAAATTAAATCTGACTTAAAACAAAAATTTTCAACTTTGTGAATTAGCAAACAATAATTCTAAAACAAACCAGTGAGGCTGAGGGGGTTAAGAAGTCAGTATTTCTCACCACAGTTTGTAAAAGTGCATATTAGAGTGAAGTGTTAGAATTTTTTTTTTTCAAAATAGGCAGTAAACTGAAAAATTTTCACTACTGATATTCTAAATATACTATTCTAAATATACTGCTGAAACATCTCAAGAATAATTAAAATATGGAAAAGTATGAGGATAGAATAATTTAAACACACGAAATATGAAAATTCACCTACAGAGAGGTAGAAGTTAATATAAGGATTCATCAGTTCCCGATGCCACAAAAGCAAACAAACACAATAGCAGAAAGGGACAAAAATATATTATACAATAAAGAGGTAAAAAGAGTCTCATGAGTGCACTGGACCCTTTGGCTCTCCGTAGGTGACTATTTTAAGTGCTTACTCCAAAGCCATCAGTGAGCCACTTGACCAAATGTGAGGAAGGAAGAGGGGCGCTGAGCCAAGGGAAGTGTCGGCTGCAGCCGTGAGGACCCGGGGACAAGTACACAGACCACACAGACGCAGGCCGGGCGACACTGAGGGTGATTACCTGCACGGGAGGAAAAGCCTTTGTGAGGGCTGGAAATAGAAAACGGGCACTCCTGTTTCCCAGTTGTTTTAAGGAAAGTAAAAGACACAGATGCCACTGAATGACTCCTCTTCCTCTCCAGGTCGTAAACACACCACCAAGCTTCAGACTTCTGCATGCACCTTTGCCCTAGGAATCTGGTAATTTTCCTTTGTGAAAGGAATGTACATTCTAAATAATATCCTCAAGATGTACCCACTTAAAAAAAGGTTTTAATCTAGAATAAATACTAAATCCTCTTCATATCTAGCATAAGTAACCTCCTCAGATAGAAAATATTATATTACAGATCAAAGATGATAAAAATACAAAAACATAACATTGTTCTGACTTCATACTGAAGCTCAGAGTTTTGCCTTTTTAATGAAGACATACTGTAACTGCATTCTGGTAATTTATTGTTGATGTGCTCTAGGGTTATTATCCACTGTTCAACTTGCAAAAGCTGTTGGTGTTTCCATTGTAGGATCATCCACAAGAACGGCTACAGTGAACAAGAATGCTTAGAGTTCAAGGCCGTGGTCTACAGCAACACTCTACAGTCCATCCTCGCCATTGTAAAAGCCATGGCCAGCCTCGGCATTGAGTATGTGAACCCCAGAAGCACCGTAAGTATAAAAGTGGCTACAGTCATGGCTCCTAGTGAGGGACCTGAGCCTCTACTGCAGGAACCATTGTTTGTATTTCTAATTGGCCTCAAAACTTTAGGGACATGAAATAATTATTCTGGAAGTATAAACTCTATTCATTTTAAGATTTCCTAGTTACCTATTTATCATTGTGCATTATAAACGTATTTGATTTTAACTGTTTTCTTAGGCATCAAACTTAATATTGAGTACTATGCTAGACTAAAAAATTTTGTTGCTTATGATTGCTAAGTCTGAAGGATTTCCTATACACCTGCTAGATTGCTACATTTCTTAGGGTATGAGCATTTCATGGAGATTTAAAAAGTTTTAATCACACCCCAATTATCACTCATGCTCATTGTCAATTATAAAGACGGTGGCAATAGAGAAAGTGCTCATTTTAGTCTTAATTTTTTAGAAAAGAATTCAAAAGTATGAGAATAAAATGCATGTATATTGAGTACACTCAACTAATCCCAGTTTTGTTTATAAGGTTATTTATCTAACTAATTTTATGTTTCTTTTTTATATTATGCCACCATTTCACATTGGTGAAAGTACACCCACTTAATTTAAAACATTTACTTGTGAACATATGTAACTATTTTAGTTAGCAAGTGAAATATATATTATTATCCAAGGGACAGTAGCTGACCTCACTCACAAGGAGAGTGACTGAGTCCAGTCCCAGGAGGACATCATTCCGCAGGCCCTCTAGCAGTTGCCTTCAAGGGATGCTGGTTGAACTGTTCCCAGTGTGATTTTTACACTTCTTGTTATAAGAATGGTAACAGTGGAAAGGAGCGATATAGTAAGGATAAAAGGAAAGCTGCATTGGAGCACACACTCACCACCATGGCTCCATTTTGTGAGTCAGTCATCTACATGGCCACAGGAAGTCATCAGGATGGAAAGGAAAACATGGCTTTCCTATGCTGTTGATTTTCTTTCTGTTTTTATTAGCGCATGTTTGCAGTATGTAGTGGTCACATTCATCCTGGGGAGCTGGTCCATGTACAGAACAAATCTCGATTCTTTGTTCATTTCCTTCCTCTTGACTCCCTTCCTCCTCTTTCTATCATTTTTTTTTTCTCCAGAAATCAAGGAAATGCTCTTAGGCGGAGGGCAAAACTGACAGCCAAGGCTCTCTCACCTCTTCTACTTCTAGCTTTCTGCACAGCGGGGCTCCAGTCAACCACCTGCTCCTCTGGTTCCAAGGCCCTTCTCACATGGAAAAGGGGAAGTTGGAGCCGCTGAACTCCATGGTCCTTCCTTCCTTCCTTTATCTCTCTGTGACTTAGTCATCATGTTCCGTCACAGCGCAGTTCTCTCTGACCTTGGATTTTCCAAGAACCTAGAATTTTAAACTCACCTTTCGGAGGCGACCTAGAATAACCCCCAGCCTTAGTTCAAGAGTGGGGTAATAAAACCCAAAGAGAAGTATTTGGTTTCCTTCTAGCAGCTAAAGTGTAGGGCAAATCCCATAGTGCTTCTCACTGTCCAACTATTTTAAAAAATGCTGTGAAGGACTGGAAATATTTGCCATTTTTTTTTCTTCTAGGAAAAAGTGGTTAATAATGTGGGGGAACTTTACAAACTCCTCAAAGGATGATTTAATGCTGTTCAAATTTGCTTATATGACATTGCATGTGTCAGGGTGAGGGAAGTTGGAAATCACAGCCTTGCCTGTTGGCACTCTTTAAAGATAGATATATGTGCTGTCTACAACCCCGCTTTGCCACTCAGCAATACTAGACCTCCCTAAAGACCTGGAATCTGCTGGTGAAGAGTCCTGAGGCTCTGACTGTAGATTCTACACACTGCTGCCATTGTACTGACTAAAAACCAAAATCAAGTACAATTATTCCAACTCCGTATTCGACATGCTGAGCCAGTCCGAAGCAATTGTCATGACTTGTCCTGTCCTTGAGTAGCATAGTCCTCTGGCACCATATAACCTACGTCTAGATTTTTCAGCTGCTGTCAGCTCAGAGTTTTATCATATTCTTGGATATCTGGCTTTACGACTGCGATACTACTTTATTAAACTCTTCATGCAACAGATTAACTAACAGATGAGTTGCTAACCATTGACTATGTCTATATAAATAAACACAAGTAAATCAGAATTCTAACCAAACTTTCAGAGTTCTGACTAGCTTTTGATTTATTTATACAGACTTATGTATTTGTAAACAGCCATCTGCTTATCATCATGTCATTACACAGATCACCATTCAAAGACCTTCCTGATAGGGGAAATGATAAGGGTGTATCAGGTACTAGTTTATACATTTAGGCCAGTTACTTAATTTCAATTTTAGTTCAATCAAAATGTCAGTGCTTTTCTCATTAAATTACAAAAAAATAATTCACTATACAAAATATTGCAGAATGTAACTTTCTAGTAAATACTAGCTATTTTTTCAACAATTATTTTGAATGTAACCAGTACAAATTTATGTACTGAATTCTACACATCTAACATTATTTGAAAAAAAAAAAACAAACAGTATTATTTATGCAGCAGACATTTGGCCCGATACTGAGATACACTGAGCATCCAGAAAGCCCTTGAAATTGAACTATTTTTTTTCCTCCAGACAGCAAAGTGTGACGTGGAACAGGTAATGCAAAGCATCTGCTAGTTTAAAAGTGTAGCCCTGCAGAGATGGAGACCAACAGAGTGTTCTTTGTAGGAAGAATGGAAGAACTAAGGAGAAAGAAAGCACTAAGTAGACAGGAAGAGGAACTAAGGAGCTGGGTTCCAGAAATATTGAGTGAGCGAGTCCTGTGAGACACTCACAGATGTAAGCAATGCTTGGGGCTCACAGAGGCTCTCCCGCTTGAGCCCCAGGTGTTGGTTTTCATGACGTCACCCCTGGCGTATGATTTATACTACGTGGATGGTTCAGAGTAAACAGTCAAGTGCCTAGGGTGAGAAGAGTAGTAAGGAGAACAAAGCCCAAGTAGTAGAGTTTTCTGTTTGTTTGGTACTGGAGATCTAACTCGGGACCTTGCGCCCTTGCGAGGCAGGAGGCAGAACCACTGAGCTAAATCCCTGGCCCAAGTAGTAGTGTTTTAAGAGAGGAAAAAATAAAACCTCCACCATTTTCTAAGTCACTTGAGAGGAGGAGAAAACTTCAGAGGAAAGGATGGAATATTTATGGGGCTATTAGAGGTATCTGGAATCCCAGAATGGCAGTGATGGGGTCCAAATGGAGTTTTACGCAAGTTAAAAAGTCTAGAGAGGTCCAGGAAGAAGAATAGTTAAAGGGATCCAGGATCCGCAGCAAGATGGAGCCACTGGGGCTTAGTGAGTAGTCAGAAGAGCTGGGCTCAGAGCCTGTGGAGTTTGAAGGAAATGCTTTCCGGAAGTGTCACTCAGGGGCAGGAAGGGGTTGAGTCTGTGGTGGACAGGATACAGCTAAAGGGGCCTGTTCATGTTTTGGTTTCGTGTTTGATAAACTGATTTCACAAAGCTGTGAAGAGGGAAAAGCTCAAGAAATAGGAAAAGGGGAATAATAAAGACATTTAGTAAATTTATTTTTTCATTTTTTCCTTCTCTTTCTGTCTTTTGTTGTTATTGTTGGTTGGTTTTTTTGAAACAGGGTCTTGCTGTGTCGTTCATAATGCCTTGAACTCATAGTGATTTTCTTGCCTTAGCCTCCTGAGTGCTGAGATTATGGGCATGCTAAACCACGCCCAGCTTCATTTAGTAAATTTCTGCTTCTCCTTTCTGAATATTATTATATTCTTGGATTCCCCAAGAAGTTCCGCGATTAAAGTTCCATGATGAAATGGGTTTGGGGGCAAGTATACTATAACAGGTTAGAAATTCACACTCACCATAGTACTCAGAGAAGGAAAATCTAATAGCAACAAAACCTTGGCCTTTTGAACCTAGAATTTCTCAAGAAATTAGTAGGCCGTGTCTCCCTTCCTTTGAATGTCTTCTGTGATCCTGGAAATCTGTCTCTAGGGTTCCCAATGAATTCTTCTAGGTCTTAAAGCTAAGGCCACGTTGGTGACTATTGTTGATGAGGAAGTCTCTGTGACCTGCATGTGCTTTCCATTTCTGCACAATCTCCTTCCAGAGCTGCAGCCCCTGAATGAACGGCAAAGCCCAGACCACTGCTGTCCCAGAGTTTTTCCAAAGAAGTCACAGGGTAACGAGAGTGTATCGCTGGGCCAAAACTCAGCACCTAGGGCACTCTGAAAAATTTGGCAGACTTTTTAGAGATTCCTTAACCTATCCCTGGAGATAATGATGAGTGTATTCACTGTTTTGATTCATTCATTATGAATCTTAAGAACATAGAAATGAACAGTCTCTACTTCCATGTGTTTGCAGCCCAATATGAAAGATACAGCATAAATGAAGAAGAAAATGCACGAAGTGGGGTAACTGTCACAAAGAATGATTTCTTTAAAAAAAGGGAAACAGATTAGAAAGAGGTTGGAGAAGAGAGCAGACATCGTGTCGGCCTTGGGAGGCCCCAGGGAGAGAGGTGTGCACAGCTCGCAGACCTGAGGAGGAGACAGGAGAACACAGGAGAAGGACAGAGAAAGCAGATGGCATCAACGCAGTTGGAGCCTGTGTGTCCTTAAAAGATCCAGATTTGATTCTGAGTTGGCTGGGAAATTAGTACTAAAGTCCTTAAATTATGGGAGTGAAATAGTCTGTAGTTTGCAGAGTGACTCTCCTGTGGAGGATGACTTTTCATGATAGCTGTTAATGTGAGTGTTGCAGATTTTACAAATTCAAATGGCCCGCCTCATTCAGAACATAAGTTAATTCTTTGCATTATATCAGCGCTTCCGTGAGCCTGTGAGACCATCAAAGACTGAAATGAACTAGGACCCATAAAATGTTATTTATGGTTTGAAAAGAAACAAAACTGGCAAATGCCTATCACCCCCTGTGCATGCAGTACTTTAAAAAAGGAAAAGGTCTAAGAAGACAAAACTCAAGCTGATGGGGCAGGTTTCCTTTAAGGAGAGAGGACTGCAGGGTGGCAGGAAGGTCCTGGTCCATGCAGATGGTACAGAAATTCCACCCCTTGGTCCCACAACACCAGGGGCTTCTGCTCTAAAGGGGACATTTTCAAAGACGAGGTGAGGCTGAGGCAGGCAGTGTTTTCCTTGTGGGGGTAAAAGTGCACGAGAGAGCAGCTGTTTTATTTATCATTTGTCATTAAAGACCTTGGAATCGTTGTCAGGGCCAAACGGGAGACTAGACGAGGAGGAGGGGGTGAAAATGTTATCTTGTGTTGATGCAAGAATGTGGCCACAACTTTTGCTCTTGGCTACTTCGCAATCAGCCCAGTGATCATCTGATAGATTTGATTACCTCTGTGGCCTGCATGTGCTTTCCATTTCTGCACAATCTCCTTCCAGAGCTGCAGCCCCTGAATAACGGCAAAGCCCAGACCACTGCTGTCCCAGAGTTTTTCCAAAGAAGTCACAGGGTAACGAGAGATCTCTGTGACCTGCATGTGCTTTCCATTTCTGCACAATCTCCTTCCAGAGCTGCAGCCCCTGAATGAACGGCAAAGCCCAGACCACTGCTGTCCCAGAGTTTTTCCAAAGAAGTCACAGGGTAACGAGAGAAAATTAAAAAAATTTAAAAATTCCTTGATTTTGAAGAACAAATAAATAAGGGATTTGTCTTAAAGGACGTCATTAACGGAAACAGATGCACGCTTAGCCTTTCATGCAAAGGACGAAGTTTTGATGAAATGGTGAAATGAACCTACAGTCAGTTAGTGTATCGCTGGGCCAAAACTCAGCACCTAGGGCACTCTGAAAAATTTGGCAGACTTTTTAGAGATTCCTTAACCTATCCCTGGAGATAATGATGAGTGTATTCACTGTTTTGATTCATTCATTATGAATCTTAAGAACATAGAAATGAACAGTCTCTACTTCCATGTGTTTGCAGCCCAATATGAAAGATACAGCATAAATGAAGAAGAAAATGCACGAAGTGGGGTAACTGTCACAAAGAATGATTTCTTTAAAAAAAGGGAAACAGATTAGAAAGAGGTTGGAGAAGAGAGCAGACATCGTGTCGGCCTTGGGAGGCCCCAGGGAGAGAGGTGTGCACAGCTCGGAGACCTGAGGAGGAGACAGGAGAACACAGGAGAAGGACAGAGAAAGCAGATGGCATCAACGCAGTTGGAGCCTGTGTGTCCTTAAAAGATCCAGATTTGATTCTGAGTTTGCTGTGAAATTAGTACTAAAGTCCTTAAATTATGGGAGTGAAATAGTCTGTAGTTTGCAGAGTGACTCTCATGTGGAGGATGAAGGCTGGGAAATTAGTACTAAAGTCCTTAAATTATGGGAGTGAAATAGTCTGTAGTTTGCAGAGTGACTCTCCTGTGGAGGATGACTTTTCATGATAGCTGTTAATGTGAGTGTTGCAGATTTTACAAATTCAAATGGCCCGCCTCATTCAGAATGTAAGTTAATTCTTTGCATTATATCAGCGCTTCCGTGAGCCTGTGAGACCATCAAAGACTGAAATAAACTAGGACCCATAAAATGTTATTTATGGTTTGAAAAGAAACAAAACTGGCAAATGCCTATCGCCCCCTGTGCATGCAATACTTTAAAAAAGGAAAAGGTCTAAGAAGACAAAACTCAAGCTGATGGGGCAGGTTTCCTTTAAGGAGAGAGGACTGCAGGGTGGCAGGGAGGTCCTGGTCCATGCAGATGATACAGAAATTCCACCCCTTGGTCCCACAACAACACCAGGGGCTTCTGCTCTAAAGGGGACATTTTCAAAGACGAGGTGAGGCTGAGGCAGGCAAAGGTCCTGGTCCATGCAGATGGTACAGAAATTCCACCCCTTGGTCCCACAACACCAGGGGCTTCTGCTCTAAAGGGGACATTTTCAAAGACGAGGTGAGGCTGAGGCAGGCAGTGTTTTCCTTGTGGGGGTAAAAGTGCATGAGAGAGCAGCTGTTTTATTTATGATTTGTCATTAAAGACTTTGGAATCGTTGTCAGGGCCAAACGGGAGACTAGACGAGGAGGAGGGGGTGGAAATGTTATCTTGTGTTGATGCAAGAACATGGCCACAACTTTTGCTCTTGGCTACTTCGCAATCAGCCCAGTGATCATCTGATAGATTTGATTTTAACAAAAACAAAGCCCCCCCCAAAATTAAAAAAATTTAAAAATTCCTTGATTTTGAAGAAGAAATAAATAAGGGATTTGTCTTAAAGGATGTCATTAACGGAAACAGATGCGCGCTTAGCCTTTCATGCAAAGGACGAAGTTTTGATGAAATGGTGAAATGAACCTACAGTCAGTTTAAGATAAAAAGTTGAGTTATGTCAGGAGAGCAACTGGTTCTTACCGAATATACTTTCTCTCATCGCAGCCTGACTACACAAAATACCCATAGGTTGACTCGTCTTCGGGTGCTTGTCTTACTCCCGGGTACATCGTGTTACAATCTGGAGGGCTGGGGATGCATGGGGTGTCATCGTGTCAGTGGCCACTGTAGTACTCACTGGCAGGGTCGTGGGGGACAGGAGCCTGGCGCCTGCCATCCAGAAACAGAGCCCAGGTGACCTGGTAACCTGACTGTTGCCAAGCCCAGGTAAACACCTAGAAACTCAAAGCCTTTGTCTTTGAAAACATGAAATGCTTTTGTCCTAGAAAGTTTTGATTTTCTAGTTTAAATAAATTGTAGGCTACTAGAAGATGTGCAAACCGAGTTTACTTAGTAAACTCTGTCTGGCATCTCCTTATAACCCACAAAGATTGTACAAACAGAGCTGATGCCATCCTTGCTTTTCTTTTGGTTTCCTAATCTCACCTCTGCCCTATTGATTCGCTCCAAAAGCAGCAGTCAATACCTACGGGGATGTTCAAAAACCTCGATAAGTGCAAATGTTTACCACTGCTTACTTACACAATTACAAAGTATGCTTGATGGCAGATAAAATCGTATATTAGTTTTTAATATAAATTTACTGCAGTGCATTTATTTCTCATTTTACTCTTATTCTTACTTGGCTCTTTCTAAATTAAAACTATATGCCCATATAGCAGCGCAATTCATAACAGCTAAATCTGAGAAGCAGCCTGCATAACCATCGAGAGATGAATGGATACAGGAAATGCAGCATTCGCACACAGTTCAGTACCACCGTGCCCTAAGAAAGATGCGCTCGAGTCCTTTGCGGGAAGGCAGATGCAGCTTGAGGCCGTACTCTCCAGTGAAATACATGGGACACACCAGCTTAACTATGATATGCTTCTCTTCTATGAGAAACTTAATGTACACAGAGCAAACTGATAGGTCAATACTAGGAAGCGGGGAGAGATGTCGTGACAAGAGGGGAGGGGAACCCAGGATGGAGGAATAAGGTGAGGAGGGACAGGAGATGAGAAAAGGGTTCCACCGTGTTTCCTACGGCGCCAGCGCCTCGCACGGAGCGCCGACACTGCGCACTGCGAACACAGACAAGATGAAAAGGAAGCAGCAGCTCAAGAGGTGAGGATGGGAGCAAGAGAGGGAGAGGGGTGAGAAGAGCAGGTGAAGGCGCATGATATACATGTCCCAAGTCCCCAAACGACTGCAAGCATTGTATAACACAAACGCATGCTGTCAAGTAAACAATATATAGCTATCATCTGAGGAAGACAAACTGCCAGGAGATTTTGTTATCCCTTGCCGCTAACATTCCACCTCTCTGAGGGTTAAATGGATGTGTACCCAAATGTTGTTCATTTTTCTGCCATCATACTAGGAAGTCAGGGATATAGGTTGAAGATATCCTAAGTTTTCCACATAACGTCACAGTTTTTGCGCAAAGGAGAACTTTAAGGAATTTGAGTTCTGTGATCTTAATGCGTTTTGAAAACCCAATCAGTGGAACTGTTAGCAAAAGGAATGACGAAATCAATCCCTTAAATTGTCCTGCCATTCCCAATGACACATCTTTGTCTTCCCATGGCACCGTCATGGTAGGAGGACCAGCAGCAGCTGTGGACCATGGCACATGCCCAGGAAGATGGGGTCATGACGCCTCAACTGGCTGAGGTGATCAAACGACTGTGGCAAGACCCAGGGATCCAGGCCTGCTTCGAAAGGGCCTCTGAATACCAGCTCAACGACTCCGCGGCCTAGTAAGTGACTCACTGCCGCGTGGCTGCGCGGAAACATGGGTAACTAAGTGCTGTAATGCTGCCTAGTGTGTGCTCATGAACGCAAATGGAGAAAGCAAATGGCCTTGGAAAAACAAACACTAACAACATGACATAAGCCAGACGCAAACATTTCTAAGTATTTAAAATAACCCATTGTAAAACCGTTTGCCTGGCAGGGGCACTTTTCCTCTCTCAATGAGAAAGAAGTATTATACACAAGGCTCGATATTAACACAGACTGGCAATGTGCACCCTGAGGTTTGGGGCTAAGTACTTCAGCTATATCCATGTTACTGGGTTATCTCTTAGAATAATTTCATGAGTGACGCATGCTTCAGCTCACTGGATTGATGACCAAGATGGACACTTCTGGAAGAAAATAATTGTTGATTTCCGCGACAGTTGTATGTGGTAGGATTGTTTGGGAGTCTGGAGAAAAATAGCCTAAGTCTCACAGCCAGTATCATTTAGTAAGCATTAGTAGCCAAAAGGGATGGCTAATAAGGAGGTATGACAATGCTTATAATGGCACTGTCAACATGGCTTAAAGTGTTTATTTCAGCAAGTCATTCTTAACCTATCACACTAGTATGTCCCGGCAAGCACATGTACCCATGAATGAAATCGTTATCTAAGTACTAAACATTGTATGTTTTCTTCCTTGTATATGAACGTATAAAAATTTCAAATAGAATCCTTTGATAAGCCCCCAACAGAATGCACTACCAGTACATAATTAAGCAAAGGAAATGAAAATAACAACAAAGGGTAACATAAAAGTGACGCATATAAAGGATCACTGGTAGACAGACCAATAAAGCTTGCAAGATCCTTGAGATGTTTCATCAAAGATAGAATGATTCTGGAAAGAAAGCAAACCATATTTGTCCCAGGGGGTAAAGCACTCTTCGGTGATCACTCATTTACTATTGTCTTGGACCCCGAATTGCAGCGGGCACCTTGCCGGCAGGGCACAGAGATAGATGGGCATTGTTCTGTGGTTTCATCAACTAGCTATCAGCTTTCTGGAGTGTCTCGGTGTCTGCTGCATTTCAGTAGAAGAAGGATCTCTTTCTCCCTAGGAAGGGTGCTAAAACTTTGCCCTGCTACACCCATCACTGGGAAGGCCTAACAGTGAGTTACAAGCTAATTAACTGAACATTCCCATCTTAGTTAAATTCTCCAGCAAAGGGGGAAAGGCAAGTATGGTGAGCTATAACTATCATTTAGCTTTGGATGTGTGATACTGGTTAATCATTATTAGTTTTCCCTTACAATACTGAAAGAAATAAACTTGCAAATGTGTTCACCACCTCGTTTGTTCTTTAACAGCCAGAATCCATCTGCAATTTGTATAGTTGAAATTGTCGAGTAATATGGCACTTTACTGTGCATTTTAAGTCACTCCTTTGCTTACATAAAATAAGTTTTTCTGCAGAATTACAGAACCATATTGAAATATTTATCTCCACCTCAAGAATCATACTAAAATATTTACCTGTACCTCAAGTTAAATACAATAAACATCAATTCACAATGATTTTGTGAATGTAGCTCATAGGGTGGTAGTTTTTGACCTTTCAGAAAAATTTGCACAGCTGGAAAATAACCAAAGAGCTGATTCCATCCCAGGCACTGTCTCAGAAATATTTTATAGATAAATCAAAAGAATAAAATATTAACATATTTTTCTGCTTAGAAGTGTCCTTAGGACAAGTTACATAAAAGCTTGCTGAGCAAAATTGTTGAATGGAACTTGTTTTCTTACAAAAATTAAGAGCAGGTTTTTTTTCTAAAACAAATCCTGCATTACATTCATATTGTAAACCTAAATAAAAAATTAGATTGGCACTATACTGGATGCACATTTCATATATATTATATAAAGTTCTCTATCGTTTGTATTTATTTATTTATTGGCTATTGGTGCAAGTGAGGTATCTGTTGCTTTCTCTAGTCTAGAGACTTTTCAAGTTGAGGCTAACAAAAAGTTGAATCTGTTGAGAGCAAAGGAAAGAAATGTTATGATTGGCAATGTAAGGAGGCCTGAGCTGCAGCAAGAAGATAGGCTGGCACAGGCGGCCAGGAAGGCTGAGTTAGGGCGGCAGGGTTTGTGGCTGCGGTCATCTCCTGTGCAGTTTAAATTCCACGTGCTCCAGGAACTAAGACAGACTTGCCAGGAAAAATACTGCTTTTATACAGTTGAAAAGAGAGTTGAGTATTTTTAAGTGAATTAAACCATGTATATTAAAAGTTTCTGGTCTAAGCTTTGGACTACAGCCTTGGACAACCAAATCTTTTATTTGTTTATTAAAATAAGCATTTTGAATGCGTATTTGTCAGTTTACTGAGGCCTCTTCTTTGCCTGAAATCATTTATGCACACAAATAAAAGTTCATCAAAACCTGTTTACCAAAGCTTTTACTTACCTGTCACTAAAATAAATTTAATTTCTATTTTGATAGGCGTATTTATTTTTTTTATTCAAGCATGAACTAATTGACCAGTTGTACACATATAGTGCATGCAGACTTAAGTCAATGAAAAACTTACAATGATTTGCTTCCTTGAAGAGAAAATACATTTTTTACATCTGCAAACTTTTGCCAATACTTTCTCTGATACATTTCTATCTCGATGTATCATTTTTAGAATATTTATTTAAATGAAACAATAGTGATACTTTTTTACATTTTCATGTTTCTAAGATGTGATTTATTGATTGATTGATTTATCCTCTTGACCAAAATCCCTCTGGGCCATTCTTAGTTTGTTTCTTGGTAAAAGGGAAAAAATCCTTGAGGAATAGGTTACCATCTCACTCTTGAATTTATTCTTTAATGATAAAATAACTTTTTAAGGCATTGTGTTTGATGGTAAGGCACAACAGCTCCTTAATTTAAATCCTGGAAAAATTTGAACTTTTGAGAATAACTGCTATTCTGCTGACTCTCTGAGTCTGTCTCAAAGGATCCTCACCAACCTTTTATTTTTCTTTAATCCATGGAAGCATGGGATGATGTAACGGGCAAATTTGTCAGAAAACATTAAATTGCTATTGTTATTTGTATTGAAAATTCCTTACAGAAATAGCCATACTGCTACGCTCCTAAATTTAGTGTCAACAGTCCAGAAGAGTGGCTTTCAAAGAAAATTCTTCAATAAAACACTTTGCTTTTGATTTATAGACATATTTGATTTCAAGGTTCTAAGAGCAGTTTCCTTCTATGGATCTAACAGACTTCTGTAGAAAACACAATTTAGACTTCATCCTGCTCCTCACCACCTCTAGATTCAATATGGATAAGAGCCTCAGTGCTCAACCTGACAAGACAGGCAATCCAGAATGGCTAAGACTCCACAGGAACAATGGTAGAAGGTAGGAGTGATACAGGGCCTTCATCTGGTGCCCAGAAGCTCCAGTCCGGGGGCCACCTGTGGGCCAGCTGGGGAGACAGGGCACTTCTCTTATGGTGACTCCAGGATGTCAGCATGGTCCTTAGTCCTAAATTAGGAGACTTCTGACAAAAAAAAAAAAAAAATCTTCAGATTTTGACTTTTAAGCCAATCACCGTCTTAAAATCTGAAGTGGCTAAGTTCAAAGTACAGAATTCTGAGCGTAGTGCAGTGACTACAAGCCTGGCAGGACGGTCAGCTATTTACCTGTACGTCTGTGCTGAACAGGTGGGACCTCCATTCTGGTCTCCATATGCATTCCAGGCCTCATGGAGACATTCCCTCTCCTGCTCCTGTGCCTGGCAGATATGCCTCCAGCACGCAGGCTGAGCGTGGTCCTGACTCCCTGGGCCGAGGCCCCAGAGCTTGGTCTGAGCATGCTCTGCCTACTGCCAAATCTCAGCTACCAAACACTCATCATTCTGACACCACAGTGTGAAAAGCACTGGTCTGGAGTTTACTATTTTTAGTGGACTCTAAACCAAAGGTTCACTTGTATTGGATTCTGGTGTCCTCTAAGGCCAAGTTGAACACCTGTATTCTTTGTGTTTTTATCAGCTACCTTAATGATTTAGACAGAATAGCCGCTCCCAGGTATGTGCCAAATGAGCAAGATGTTCTCCATTCTCGAGTGAAGACGACCGGGATCATTGAAACTCAGTTCTCCTTTAAGGACCTGCATTTCAGGTAGGAATGAGAGTGCACTTCCGGGTCTGGTCCAAAGTGTGTGTGGGACACGGCCGTTGCCCACTCCTGGCCTCCCCTGCCCTCATCCGGGACCCGCACCTCCCAGGCTGACCCGAGTCTGGCCTGTTTCTCTCTGGAGCAAGCCAGGGCTGGGTTTTCATTCCCTCATATTTAAAACTGACATTGGACTTTGGATTTTCTTTTTAAATCTATTTAAATGACACTTCGCAAATGCCAGGGAGCCTATTTCCTTGCCTTCTAGTCTCCTATTTGGGTGAAATATTTGTGTCAAATCTGTTTTAACTTTAAAAAAATGCAAATAATTAAAAGGAGAGTGATTTGAATATGCTGCTAGTCACTAGAACAACAAAGCACATTTTACAGGCATGTTTTGGGTATGAAAATCTCACTGTTTTGCTTGCTCTTGAATTCTCAAATTCTTCCCTGAAATCCTCCTGTGACTTAACTTTAAAAAAATGCAAATAATTAAAAGGAGAGTGATTTGAATATGATGCTGCTAGTCACTAGAACAACAAAGCACATTTTACAGGCATGTTTTGGATATGAAAATCTCACTGTTTTGCTTGCTCTTGAATTCTCAAATTCTTCCCTGAAATCCTCCTGTGAAATCACCCTATGAACAATGGAAACCCATACTGCAGTGTTAGAAATTTCCCATCGGCCTTTAATCTCTCTCTATGGTTTTTAGGCAAGGTGGAATATTAACCATTATTAATAAAGTCCACCCATATCCTTCAGGAGGGAAAAAATTGACAACACAATTAAAGAGGCCATTTATAGGTTCAGTAATGGAAACATTTTTAAAGGGTAGAAAAACGGAGAAAAGCCATATGAATTATTTATGACCATTTGCAAGAGGAGAGTAAGAGATTGGTAATGAGTACCCTAAAATTTGTTATAGTGGGATAAAAGCTTTAAAAACTTTAAAGGATGAAACCTGATCATGAGGTCTCCTATAGCTATTAAATAGATAGGGTGTTTTCAATAAATCTGGAAGAAATCTCTTCAAAAGTCACACTGAACTTCAGGCCCACACTTGGTTAATTTTCTGCTCTTGGAAGTGCACTGGCAGTGTGAGCCTGGTTTTGCCATCCCTTAGTTTCCCTTTGGAAACTCCTCTCTTTGGACTGCTAGTCTTTGACCCACTTTCTAAAGTTTCCTGTGGAAGCCACGATCGGATTGCTTCTCCCCTCTGCCCAGCCTGACCCTGCCATGCATGCTCGGTTTTCCACATACTCGGTTCTGTCTTACTTGTGTGCTGCACCTCCAAGTCCCGACTGCAGTTCTGAGGAGAACCGGGGGCGGGCCTTGCGGGCATTCTGTCCCAAGCTCAACCTACAACCCCAGGAAGGAGCGGCAGCACTTGGCGCTGGCCTCATCAGCGTGTGGTGCAGTCCTAGCAGGGAGTTAGGTAACGCGATGCGTTACACAAGCTACTGGAATTTTCTGGGTCCCAGATTATCTGACTCACAAAGCAGTTTACATAATTTAATTAATGTCACCTATGAGATTTCTAAAAGCCCTGGGCTCTCCCTCCAAAGCTGACCAAGTTAGAACTTCTCTGAAATGGCTGCTTTCGTAAATGACCTTGTTTTCTGTTCTTGAGCATCACAAGCTTCAGGGCCTTTGAAGTGGCTCCTCGATGTCCCTAAAACATTCTACCCTGGGCCTAGGCAGGGATGACCTCCTTCTCATCATGCAGACAGACGCCACTCATCATTCTGTCTGCCTGGCCTGCACATCTGTCCCTGTTGCTGGTTAACACTGAACACCAGCCTTCCTGGCAGCCTGGTGAGGGCAGGAGCTCCAAACTGGGCCAACTTATAGCCTTGACCATCTCTCTGGTGCACCAGGGCTGGTGTCAGAGCCCAGTGCTTTGTCAGGAAGGCAGAGCTGGGGGAAGGGCAAGGCATAGACTCACTGGCCAAGCCAGCATGAGCAGTAACATGATGCACACGTCTTATATTTATTTCTCCTTCTGCCTCAGCTTTCCTGAGCTCCAGGAGGCTGTGTTCCCAGTTGGCCTTGGAGTTGGTCACACTTGCCAGCTCGTTAGCACGCCCAGTCAGACCCACATAGTGGAAAGCACTCCATGTCACAGGCTGGACACCTCCAGTGGGCCCAGTGAGGCACTGCTGTGCTCCTAGGGGATGGGGAGCTCCGTGGGGCAGAATCCGCTGAGAGATTCGTCCAGGGTTTCAGGGAGGTGCTGTGGATCCCAAGGCACAGCTGCCCGCCCTGAGCACTGTGCTCTGCACTCTGTGCAGCATGGGCTGCAGGGTGAATGGGGAGCCAGTGCTGCCCTGTGGAGTCCGTCTTCTCCCTGTGATGTTACAGTGCCTTTCCGGGAGGGTGAGGAGGAGTGTGGTGACAGGGGAGATCCGTGTCAGTTATAAAAGGCCTTTTTCCTCCGAGAGCTATTTTAGATAATTTGGAAATATTTTGGTGCTTTTTTTCTTCCCCACAATGGAGGACTTGCTAGATGTATAGCTCAGGCTGGCCTTGAACTTACTATTTGCTGCAGCCTCCTGAATCCTGGGATTATAGGAATAGACCACCACACCTGGGTACACATATTTTAAATTTTAGCCACAACAACTGAGATACATTAATCACTTAATGAATTCTCACAGCTGAACCATCTTTCTTTCAAGTGCTCCATAGAATTGTCCAGCTGTGCACAGGCTTTTGTAGTTTAAAATTCTGCATTTCAAAATGGAAATTATAAGAGGAATGTGCCTCCCAACTTCATTCAGCAAGTGGCCAGGAGTTAAACTATATTCCACTAGCATTGATTTGTGTGCCTGTAGCACAAATCACCCTATGACTTTTTTTTTTTTTTGGTGCCACGGATTGAACTCGGGTCCTTGTGCTTGCAAGGCAGGCCACCTAACCACTGAGCTAAATCCCCGGCCCTTACCCTATGACTACTTAAAACTGAGTATTTAATTTACATATTAAGTGAGAGAGCACTGGAATTTTAAAAAGGAATACCAAAGTGAAAAACCCTCTCTACCAAACTAGTGTGTCGTCTTCATGTATCATCTAGTTTAATGGAATTACTTACTGTTCTCACCAAACCCGTACTCAGGCTATTGAGCTGATAAAGCTAATTACCTTATAGTCCTTATCAAACCATGGCTCTAACGTCAAACAGATACAGTATTTTACAGATGGTGCCACACTGTAGGTGGAAAATTTAGTCCAAGTGTGAGCCTTTCCATTGTCCTATTCTTGTAGAATAATTTTCAAGAACAACCTACAAGGGTTAGCAAACAATTGTAGGGAAGTCACTTTCTCCCTCAATGCTCCATGATTGAGAAACAGAATTGAAAACACTTTGAACTCTATAGGGCCCAAGGGGGAAAGGTTAGTAACTATTACAACACAGAACTTACAGTTTTATTAATTTAACGTAACTGCTTTCGAGATTGCTGGAGCAGAGCCGTGACAGGAAATAAAGGGAAGGTGAGATTGGATTATTTTCCGCATCCCCTGTGTGGCCAGTGTGTCACTCTGACGTAGAACAGACGCCGATGGTCTCCACAGCAGTACACAGCAGTACATCTCCACTGAGCTTTGCTTTTCTGTTATATCTCATGTAGACTATGCATTTGTTTCAGGTATGTTCATGATTAATGTTGTCAAAGTAATGTGTCATGTGAGTCATATAAGTCTAATTTATTGTAGTAATAGATTTTGTTTTAGTGACTTCACACATTCCCTTATAGAATAACCAGAGGATTTTCCAGGGAGCAATTCATGTGATGTTTGCATACAGACACCTGTTCAGGGGAAAGCAGGTGATTGTAACACAGTACTAACTAATTGTGATGATTTGGAGACCGTGGCTCTCTTATGGTGATGTTATCTTGGCTCTTTTCAATCATGAATAGAACAGGATTTAGAGAGACTTCTGTGACTATCACTGGGGTCAGTGAGAATCTACCCATCTCTATTTTCAGATCCAGGGTGTAGGGAAGATCTTATTAGATATCATGTTCTGGTCACATAATGTCCTTGCAGTGCCCATGTAATGACCACCATGTAATGACCAGGCAGGACCCAGGTAGTGTCCATGCGCTGCCCATGTAGTGACCACCATGCAATGCCCACATAGTGACCACACAGTGCCCATATAGTGACCATACAGTGCTCTTCTGGCCATCAGCTAGGGAGCTATACCAAGTCTGACAAAGCTAGTAGTTCAAAATAAATTCCTACTTGGATTAGGTTTTATTTTTATCTGGCCAAATACATGGAAGATGTGAGAAATAGTGATTTTTTTTCAAGAGTCATATGGTTAGAGAATGAACATTTGATGTAACACCTGTCATGTAACATAGAGTCACTGTGGAAACATTGATTTACCTATCCTAGCTTATGTATAAAATCATATACTCTGACATCCTGTACTAGTGCCATATGCAGTTTCACAGGTTGTCAAGACAGCTCTCACTTAGAAGTCCAGCTTGTTACTTTCTAGCTAGGTCATCATCATTTCAAAACTTCTTTTAACTTTGAGAATCGTATACGACTTAAACAACAGACCTAATAAAGAAATACGTATTCCCACTTCTCCAATAACTAAACAAAATAAGAAAATACCCCAAATTAGGACTATAAATTCCATTCAATGTCATTACAGTTCTGGATACTGTACTGAGGGACGAATGATATTGAAACATTCTTCTCTTCTGATTCATATCCACCATATTTGATCACAAACATTCAGGCAAGCAAGAAGATATGTATTTATCTGATTTTTGTTTTTCATAGAATGGCCATGATGGATTTTTTCCTGTTTTTCTTTTATATGTAAGAAAGTATTAGTAACACACACACATATGTATGTGTGTGTGTGTGTGTGTGTGTGGTGTGTGTGCACATACATAAGCAAATAGAGTTATGCAAAGTCTCCAAATTCATAGATTATAATGCTTTACTTATCTGGAAAATAGGTGTAGGCTGAGCCTATA